TAGGGTAAAAGGGAGCTCAGAGAGAGAAGGGAGCACCAAATATAGGGTGTTGGGAGGATCCTTCCAAGATGGGAGAAGCATGCTGAAAGTAGACTATAGACCAAACATGATTGCCACTCAGTGCCTCTTTTGCAAACCACAACACCCAAAAGGAGAGAGAGGAAAAAAGGGAATGCCCTGCCACAGAGGCAGGGTGGAATGGGGATGGGGGGTGGGAGGGATATTGGGACCCATGGTGGTGGAAAATGCACACTGGTGGAGGGATGGGTATTTGATCATTGTATAATTGAAATCCAAGCACAAAAATGTGTAAGTCTACAACTGTACCTCATGGTGTTTCACTAATAAAAATTTTAAAAAAAGAATACCCCAGTTTGATTCTTACCTTTCACAGGAAGACTGAAGACTTCTGTGTTGGGCCTAACTCCTAAGTCCAAACTTTATCTGTGACACCGTACCTCATGGAGTTTCACTAATAAAAATTTTAAAAAAAGAATAAAACATATTCTTACCTTTCACAGGAAGACTGACGACTTCTGTGTTGGGCCTAACTCCTAAGTCCAAACTTTATCTGTGACACCATTATACCTAATTTGTCAGCACCTAACAGGACTTTAGGCCCATGCTAGTTTTTGTAGTTACCAGAGAGATTATAAACACATACATGAAATATATAAATAGCCTTGTGCAGCAACTGCATAAATAGCTTTGAGTTATAGCCAAGATATATGGAAGGGATTAGAGTAAAATCTAATAACATATAATTACAATTTAAATCAATAGCCCAGGAGACACAAGTTAAATCATTAGCCAGAAAAATTTCCAGTTATATCTTACCATTTCCATCCCTTTTATGGGCCACAGTTGGTGGTGCTCTTTGTGGTGTTTAGGGTGTTTAGGGGACTATGTGGTGGCGGGTGGGTAACAAATCTTAGGTTCCCACATACAGAGCATACACTTCAGTCCTTTGAGCTAGCTCCTTGGCCCTGTCTACTTAGGGAAATTTAACAAACCGAATATGTAGGACTGGATAAGTAGTAGCATACCTGGACTCACTCCCCAGCATCCCATAGGGTCCCATGAACACAGCCAGGGGTAATTCCTCAATGCAGAGCCAGGAGTAACTCCTGAGTATCACTTTCACCAAAAAATCAAATATGTATATTTTATAAATCATGGATATAACACTAAGTAAATAACATTCATTTAAAACATTGTATGTGGGGGTTGTTTTGTTCTTTGAGTCACAAAAGGCAGTGGTTAGGGTTCACTCTGGGCTCTGTGCTCAGAGATCACCTCTGGGAACATTTAGGGGATTGCATGTGGTGTTACCTAGGATTGAACCTGGGTCAATCACATGCAAGGCAAATGTTTTACCTTGTTATACTATTTCTCCTGCCCAAATAATACTTTTAGATTACTGTTATCATCATGTAAAACCAAAGCTAAATGTTATGGGTTAGTTTTTTAACTCCAATATTCATTTAAGATACCTGTAAAATTACTGTAAAATTACGAGCATCCTAATTTCATTCTGGAATTTGAAGGAAAAGTTGATAGGCAATTTTGCACTATAAGACAAGTAACTAGCCCTGCTCCATGTCATTTTTAAAAGACTAATTCAAAAACAACAATTTCTTAGAGCTTGCTCTTTCTTTTGGTTTTTGTTTGAATATTTTTACTTTTTTCTCATTTTTTTTTATTAAGCAACTGTGATTTACAAAATTACTGGTAGTTGAGTTCTAGGCATATGATATTTCAACAACACTCCCACAACCAGTGTCAACTTTGCTCCACCAGTCTTCCCATATTCCCTCCCCACCACATCCCCACCCCATCAGTGCCTGTCAACTGGCACATTACAAATTTCCAGTGGTTGCAGCTTAGAGCTCATGTTTTCAGTGTTATTGAGTCTGTGTTTAGGATTATGCTTGCTCTTTCTTTTGAAGCAAAGATTTGTTTTAGGAAAACCAGTAATTCCACACTTAATTCTTAATGGTAGTTTACCACACCATATTTGAAACAATCATGGTATTTGGCCCCAGATTTATGTACAAATCCCAGCTTTGCCAGTTAGAAATGATTAATAGTCATGTCTGCACACATACATGTGCTAATCAAGGAAATAAAAAAAAATGTAAAGTGATCCTTCAAAAATAATCTGGGGGCAGAGGGCGATTATACAGTGGTTAAAGAAGGCACTTGTGTTGCATGCTGCTGACCCAGGTTCTAGCCTCAATACTTGCGATGGTCTCCCGAGCCGACCAAAAGTGATCCCTGAGCTCATAGCCAGGAATAAGCTCTGGGCAGTGCTGAGTATGGCCCCCGCAAAAAATAAGTAAAAATCTGGAATTTTCTTTGAGCACTCCTTTTCCTTCTTTATTTGAAAGGTCATTATCCTTTTTTTCTCAGTTCCTAGTATCATCACAATTTAAAAGGAATCTGTGCAAAGACGTTTCTCATTATCCAACTTCAGAGATTTTTCTCTAGTGAATCTCGAGTCCTTTTGTGTGATTTTCTTATAAGCACTTCAAGAAATAAAAGAGGACTCAAAGAAATGGAGACTCATCCCCTGCTCATGGATTGGGAGGATTAACACCGTTAAAATGGCAATACTCCCAGAAGCATTATACAGATTCACTGTAGTTCCTATAAGGATACACATGCATGATATTATTCAAAGAAGTCGATTGAACACTCTTGAAATTCATATGGAATAAACCTCCATGGATAGCTAAAACAGTTATTAGAAAAAAGAAGATGGAAGACATTCCCTTCCACAGTTTCGAACTGTACTAGAAAGCTGTAGTAATTAAAACAGCATGGTATTAGAATAAAGACAGCCCCACAGACCAAAATAGAGTTGAATATCCTGACACAGACTCTAAATATATGAATATTTAATCTTTGACGAAGAAACAAAAAATATGAAGTTAAGCACCATGACAGATATGTTATTTTACTTTCAATCTTATAATGGATTTTGTTGGAATTATAAAGAAATAATTTCTGGATGTTACGTAGTATTGAAAAATTGTGTAAAAGTGCAGTGGAGTGGTTCATGACCTATTTCATTATTTAAACACGTGAGAATAAAACATTCCTTATAAAAAGAAGTTGGAAAGTGGAGAGGAAAAATAACCCACAATTCCACTACTTCAAATGAGCTACTATAATACAACAAAATCTTTTCATGAGGCATATTTTACAATATCCTTGAAATAGTCTTATTATCTGGAGCAGCCAGATATCATTTCTGGAGTCAGATGTTTTGAGGATTTGGACATCTGCTAAATTCTGAAGGTCTGTTTTAGAGAGAGGATGGATAGGAAGGAGAGCCATCCATGTTTTAGGAAAATTTATATATGTATATTATATATGTATATTTGCATATATGTATATATTTATTATATATGTATATGGGTAAATGTTGTGTATATGTATATATCTACATATGCACACGTGTATATGTAATAGATTAATTCTAGTGTGATGCTCTTTGTTACCTGAAACGTGTTACAGAAAAGGAGTCGTTTTTATCTACAAGTGTCATTTCTTTGAATCCCAGTATCCTATCTGCCTCTGAGTTTACTCTGTCTTCCAGAAGTGTAACTGGTTGGCCTGGCAATTTAGGGTCTAAAATCCAAGTCAGTCCCCCCTACTACAGAGTGCCCATGTCGTTGCCCAAAAAATATCCTTACCTGAAAATTTAGCTGACACCTCAGGGCTTTTTTTTGGGGGGGGGGCAGTTTAAAAAATAAATGAAACTCGTCTCCTGTTCCCTCTCAGCTAAAGAGTCAGGATTGTCTCTTGCCAGATCGCCCCTCCAACCCTGCCAGCGTAGAACTTTCCATGGCCTTAGCCTCGAGCTGATCCCCGTTCCCTCCTCTTCGGCGAGCCCCCTCCCCCTCCCAGACCTTCCTGCCTGGAAACAAAAGATTGGTCCCCGGCAGCCCACTCAGGGCCGGCCCGGCCGCGAGCGCCCTCTCTGATTGGCTGCGGCGCGGTGCAGAGCCCGGTGACGTCACCCGGGAGCCGGGCTCGCCGGCCGCCCGACTCCACCGCGGCGGGCTCCCGTGGGCGGCGGACCGTCTGAGGTGTAGCTCCGGGGGGACTGCAGCTTTTGCGGGGCTCGACCCGGGCGAGCGCGGGGCCCGGAGGAGAGAGCCCGGGGCCCGGGGTGGGTGGCGGGAGGGAGCGGGCTGGGCCCGGGGCTGCGGGGGGCGCCCATCAGCCCTGCCAGCCCGAGCGCTCCGAGGGAGAGGAGAGGTCTGGACGGGGTGGCCGGACCCGTGGCAGGTAAATCCCGCGGCTGGCGGCACCGGCCTGGCTCCGGAGAGGCGGGCGGCGGGTGGGCGCCGCGGGGCAGGGTTTCGGCCCGCTCGCCCTTCCCCACCCCCCCAATCCCTGCGGCGCCGCCGACGCGAGTCCGCCGAGCGGGTTCCTCTGGCTGCCGAGACCCTGCGCGGCGCTCGCCGTTTCCCAGGGCCTGTTAGCGGGGCCGAGTGGGTGTGTCGACCCGTGGCCAGGAGGACTCGGGCCCGGGCAGCGGCGCGGGGCAAGTCTGGGCCTCCGGAGGCCGAAGCCTCCCCCGGAGCTACGTCAGCCCCGAGTCTGAGACCATCTGGCCGCCCCCTCCCCCAGCCTGCGGGGCCGCGACTCCCGCACTGCCCGAGGCGAGGGGGTGTGGCCGTGGGCTCGCCGTGAGGGCCCCACCTGAGCCGGGAGGAAAAGTCACGGCGATCTTCTCAAATGGGCGCCTTTCTCCTCCCCACCCCCTTTTCCCTCCCCCCTTTTTTCCCTTTACGCGCCCCTCATTTTTTTTTAAAATTGAATTTCGATTTCGGTGGGGTGATGCTAATCTTCTGTGGGGGAGTTGGATCGATGCCATAGGGTTCCTAAAAAACCCGAAGTGCCTCAAGTGGCCTTTGTCTTTGTCTCAGGGCAAGATCTTTGGACTAATGGGCCGCCCTTTTCCCCCCTTTCCCTGTGTCCCCCTAAGCCCTTAGGTGCCATTGCCCTGTTTGTGATCTGGGCTCTGACAAGGTGACAGCCGCACTTTGGAGGGCTCCCACGTTCCTTAGGAGTCTTGCTCTCCTGGCAGGTGCTCTTTAGGTGGTGGTTGGGGTGGGTGGGGGGGTGTTGGAGTACTGGGGGTGGGGGGCGGGGTGTTTGCTGGGAAAGGGAGGGCGGTGCCGCCAGGGAGGGAGCCAGAGGCTCCATTTGATGTTTTGGTCCCACCTTCCAGAATCCAGTGCCTGAATCTGGACTTGAGGGTTCTGGTCTGTGGTGCTTAGAAGCGAAGGAGAGAAGGGTGAGTGGCTTGGTTCTGGGCAGCATGTAAAGGGGGTGGTGGCTGTGCTCTTTTTAACCTCCCATCCCCACCCCTTGTGGCTCTCAGCAGGGATGCCTTTAGCAATGTTAGTCTTGCTCCCTCCATGGTTTTGCAGACTCAAGTCCAGGCCAACTGTCTGACTGTCTGAGGTGCTGGAACAGAAGGAGGTCCATTCCTGTTTGGTGACAGCACTGTGGCCCTGTTCTGGGATGTTCGAGGTATAAAGGTTAGTGCGGGTTTTCACTGAGCCATTTGCAAAATGATATAATTTGGAAGATCTTCAGTTTGGTTCTTGCAACACTTAACCAGGGACCTCTTTATAAAAAAGTGCTTACTGTGATAATGGATGATGAATGTATCTAGGCTTGAAGAGAGGAGAACCTTTTTCTGGATGGGAATATCATACTCTGTTTTCCTCAGGCACATCCAGAAAGAAGTAGAATGAGAAGTGACTGGGGTGTATGTTAGCTCAAAGCCACACCTACATTCTCTAGGCCTGAAGAACCTAGACATACTAAGAAGACGCTCCAAGCAGGCAAGTGGGCCTTAAAAGGAGAAACCCAATCGAGAAAGGAGATGTGCCTAGGATAAATTTACAGACAAGGAACCACATTCTGTAAGGACATTCTGACTAGCTGACCATTCTCACAGGCTGTAACTTTTCTGGTCAGAAATGGTAAATAAAGTAAATAGGCTTGCTGATGGCTTGCAGGGGAGGGATGAAGGAGTATTGATAAGTGAAGGAAGTGGGGGATATCTTGATGTGACAGGAGTGGGGGCTGCACTCGACAGAGCTTCAGATATTGTGAGGTCAGAGACTATGATCCTCTCTGGAGGATTGCAAAGGCCAAAACATGTCAGATCTAGAAATCAGATACGGTGGGTAGATAAGAACAGATGAATAGGGTTGAAGAAAGACACGGACAGGAAAAAAAGACACCATCTCACGTGGAATTCAAAGATCCTGATTTCCAAGGTAACATGAATTAATGGTGGTGGTTTAAGCACTTGCAGCTCAGTCCATTAGAAGGTACCATTTCTTGATACACAAGGATTCAGTAGCATTCCCAATGTGTAACCTACCCCCCAGGAGCCAGTAACTTTGGTCAAGAGAAATAGGAGAAATTGAATGAGCTACAGCCTCAACATCCCGCTCTTCATCCTGGGAAAGGAGAAAGTAGGGTAGGGAGCTCCAAATCTGGCCAAGACAGGTAGGTTGACTGTTTTTTTCATGTGATGGACCAGGGCCAGATCTGGAGTATTGCCCTAGGAATAGGACATCTGCCTGTTGTCAAAAAAACAATACCTCCAAACTTCCCTTCCTAGGGGCCTGCAGGACCTTGTGTAGGCAAGGGAAGACAAAAGCTACTGCCTAAAAGGTAAGTTCAGCTATTGAGGCATCTGGGATACATCCTGAGTTTCAGCTGTCCTGTTGTGCCCAAATCTCTCCACCTAGCCAGTGTCTAGGTGTTCCTTCTATAGGGCTGAACGTAGATGTTCCAGTCAACTTGGTAGTAGGAGGTTCTCCAGCAAGGGGTGGGAAAAGCTTGCAACTCAGTCCATCACCTTCGTCTACCACTTCAGATATGAAGCTCAGGTTTCCAATCAGGTAACTGCCATAAATTTAAGATATGATTTACTGATACCAGAGAACACATAAACCCATGGGTCTGTTTTCATTTCTTCCCCCCAATGTGTACTTCCTACCGTGCTCAGTTTTTTACTTTAGAAGGCATTTGCATTTACATTCACAGTGATTTCTGAAGCCCCTAATGCAGCCAAGTGTAAATGAAAGTGTTAATGCAATGGATTGCGTCTCATTTGCACATTTTGTCAGTTTTATGCAGAAAAGGTTGGCCTAGCACCCGGCATATATGATGAGAGGAGTAAAATGCCATAGCTAAAGCTGCAGTAGAGATCAAAATATGGGATGTATATCTTGAAAACTAGATGGAAATGAACTACCTACTACTGAGGAGAGGAACTCATTCCAAAGGCATACTCAGAAACCTGAATTACTGATCACTGAGAGATATCATGGCTCTTGGACCCCCCGCACGTTTGAGGGGAGGTCCGAGCTTTGCATAAAATGGGAGGATTCTTCATCAGAAAGGGATGCTATTTTGGGACTAGAGGACCGGGAGAGAGCATAAAGTTAACCCTGGAAGTTAAAAGGCATTGCAGTCTGTGTTTCTGACATAATTTGGGCCTCAGTTACTTTACCTTTCAAATGATGGGGTTAAATAAACTAGGGATTTCCGAGATGGTCATTACAGTTTCTGATAGTGGGTACATTTAATATAGGACCACCAAAATACAGTAGCACCACAATTTACCCTTCTAAATCACACTCTTTTAGTGAATCCTATCTATTTGGTAGAAAACAATACAAAATAAACTTATAACAGCTACCTACTTTTTCTTCAGTGGTATGACTATATTTTTGTTTTATGTAAATGGGGAATAGGAAAGGAAAAGAAAGCCAGATTAAGAATCTGCTAGGAGACTATAAATATGGGGTTGGTGAAGGCAGTATTTCCAAGTGGTTTTTACTTTATGAAGATTTGGGGTGAGGATCAAGAAAGAAACTGGCTTGGTATGTGATTTTTTTTCTATTTTTCCCCCATGCTTCTGCCTTCCCATTTCTTCCTGAGCTGGATGGAATTCTTTTTTTTCCCCCCCTTAAATTTTTATTAGTGAAACACCATGAGGTACTGTTGTAGACTTACAAATTTTTGTGCTTGGGTTTCAGTTATACAATGATTGAATACCCATCCCTCCACCAGTGCCCATTCTCCACCACCACCAGTCCCAGTATCCCTCCCTCCCCCCATCCCCCCATCCCACCCTACCTCTGTGGCAGGGCATTCCCTTTTGTTATATTTCTCATTTTGAGTGCCGTGGTTTTCAAAAGAGACATTGAGTGGCAATCTTGTTCAGATTTCTTTTATATTCTCTACCCTAAAGTATATTATCCCGAACTGTCAGCACACGTGCGCCCTCTAGTGACTTCAATAGGAATACCTTTGATGGAGCTTGAATCCCATTGCCCAACTCAAGATGTCAAACAGTGCTAATTAGATGATCCTTCCAGAGACCTGAAAAGGCTCTAGTTTGCCTGAAGGAAATTCTCTGGTACCTACAATTTCTTGAAAGTCCTCCTCTCATATGGGTGATATTGGCAGCTGAGAGAGAAAGAACTGGAACCCAATTTACTTTGGGTCTGCAAATAAATGGTTTCAGTACCTTTAATGTTGAGCAAGGCACCAGCCATGGGAAAATGCTATGGTAGAGACAATTGTATTTATAACTTCACTCTCTCCATCTACAATGAGGTGATAGCTGCAGTCCCAGGCAGATGACAGCAGGACATAAGGCCATGGTACAAGTAGGCATCCAAGATATGCTCATGGAGCTTGCCTCCAGCAGGTGCAGACACAAGGCAGTATTGACACACAACATAATATAGAAACACAGAATGGCATAGACATGACAATCTGGATTAGATACACAACATATACCCAGCACAGAATAAATACACTACACATGCAGTGAAGTGCCTATTAACAGTACATGTACAATACATGTACATGATGCATTTTTGTGCAAGATATGTGATATATTACATAGATTTATGATGCATGTATAGAAACACATAAATGGCATAAAATTACACAAACTGACATGATATGAGACTTGACACAACATTGTACTGCCATGACACATATGCTGCATTGTACATTCACACAAGGTTCATGGATTCATCATGGTTCAGGGCATGATATTTGACCTTGCATATGCTCACAACACACTCCAGACACAACCTACCTATAGCTATAGGAAAATGAGAGGACTGTAGCCACTAGACTGTGTCTTACAAGCCCTGCAAATGCACTGAGAGACTACATAGCTATGTGACTAATGGGTTTGGGGCTCCTATGTGAGGCATGTGAGTCTGTAAAACACCAAGGGAAGGTAGAGAAAAACTTGCTCAGAAATGTGGAGATGCTTGGTTATCACTGTTGCAGATACTGTTATAACTATCCTGGCATTTTTCTCTGCCATAATGGATACTCTTCTGGGACTGACTTTGAGCCCTGAAGATGAGCAGGTGCTTCTTGTGGCTATTGTAACTTTGGCTTACTATGCTCCTCTATCCCATCAAACTGCTTGTGGGATGAGCTCATTCTGTGGGAATTAACACATCACTCAGGCACAGTGGGTGTCGTTTGGAAAGGTTGCTTGAGGTGTACATATAGAAAGCACATGGGACCCTAGGGCTAATGGTGGGGACGGATGTGCTTTAGAGTCTTGTTAAAAATAAGAAGGCTAGGGTATGACTTTATCTTTTTATCTAAGGTGGGGGAATTTTGAATCATGGGATCTTTCTTGTATACCTGAGACTTCGATTTTGCTCTCTTCATCTTTTATCTTTAGCTATTCATCTATGCATTGATATTTTTCCATTAGAACACTGAGCATTCAGGTATCCTATAACAAAATGATTTGTGCTGGCCTTGATTTTTTGTGAATTACTACTTATGCACTTTTAAAAGTACAAGTATCATGGAGGAAAGGGGTAATAGATATGTAGGATTGCATAGATTTTGATCTTATCAAGAGGAACATGATCTCCCTCCTTGAGAGGCTTTAGAGATAATGGGAATTGGTAGAAAGAAGAGAAATATAGAAACCCTATATATTTGGATAAACATGGAAAAATCTGTATAGAAGATAGGGCAACCTGTCAATAAAAATGTATTCACTCATGTCTGGGAGCAACTGGGGAAATCTGGTGGTGGTATTGGGAGCAGGCAGAGGGACGTTCCAATTAAAATAAGAGGCTGAGGTCTTCATGAGATGTTAGCAATTTAGGGAAACTCAGATTTCATCACAGTTACCTTAGTGAAAGAGGTTTCCATAAAGAGAAATGAGGATGGATATGGAGACCTGGAGTTGAGAAATGAAATAAATTGAACAGTGGTGACAGGTCTTCATGGAAATTTGCCATTATCTCAGTTTCCTAATGTACACTGGCTGTAATACCACCTATTAATATGCAAATTTTTTGCATCAGTGTTATTTGATTTAATCCAACTTTTGTCCATGGTGACTAGACCAGGTGTTGCTATGTTACATTGCTTATTTATATTTCTCATCTTTCTGATTGTTTGTCTCCTTGAGAGACTTTCTGAAAATCATTCTGGTATGTGTGTGATGTTCTGGGGATTGGACAAGGGATTAGGAGCAGGTGGAGAAAGTGGTTCCCACTCCCCCCCTCCACAATGCTTCTCTTGGCAGGTTTCCCCCAAGAAAGCAGCTGAGTCCTTGCAACTTGCCCAGCACTGAGTTCCTCGGAGCTGAAGGCAGCCTGGCCCCTTCTCAATGGTCAGTACCCAACTGTACTGAGGTCCTGCAGCCGTGGCGGTGTGAGGTGAGTAATGTATTCCAGGGTAGGGAGCTAGGGTTCTCCGAATCCAGGTAAACTCCCAACTTCCCAGCAGTGCTCACAATATCAAGATTCTGCCTAGAACTCTTACCCAGCATCAAGATTCAGCCCTTCCTTGCTGGCAGTGTATGCCTAGCTTAGCATCTTTAGTCTCTTACCCTTCAGATTTCCCTAATTTAAAAATGAAAGCCTTGACCTACATTCCATGATGTGCAAGAAAAATGACCTAACAATTATTGCCACGTCCTTTACATTTGTCAAGTTCCATCTGAGAGCTTCGGTGTTACACAGATCTTCTCATCAGGCTGTCATTTTCTTTCCACCTGCATTTCTGTCAAAGTGGCATTTCAATCACATGCCACAAATTCACCGATCAGTTCCTATAATTTCTACATCCCCATAACCTTAATTTTACCTTGTTGTTCAAAGTGTGTCCCCACCACATCCATCACTGAATCTGAACCTAGAAAGCTTAATTCAAACCTTTTAGGAACTTTGTTCTGGTTTCTAACCAAATAGCCTCCATCTCAACTTGGGGACATATGACCCACTTTGTGTCTCCAGATTATTTCAGGATGGCCACATTTAAAATTGCATAAATGGATACGCCATGATATGAGACTAGGGGACAGCCAGTAGGACAGTGGAATCACAGGAAGGAAACAAGGTCAGAAAAGGGGCTGTGGTTGGAAAGTTTGAGAAATGTTGGCAGGACTTTTGCTTTACTGCTGCTTTAAATAATTTTGGCATGGTTTCTGGAGTTTTCATCTTGTCAGGTAAATTAGCTTAGGATTTTTTAGAAGTAGGGTCTAGATCTCACCAATCTCTAGTTTCCCTTGTAAGTGCCTGGCAATCCCCTGGCAGCTTTTAGATTTGGGCCTGCCTCTTCCTGTCTTTCCCCAACTTCTCTCATGACACCTCGTGGTCAGCTTCTCTTGCCTTTGAGTTTTAAGTAGTCACTATAGCTTCTTTTGTCAGCTCTTTTACCTGACCTTAGGTTGCCACACTATGCACTCCAGCTACTTGTTTTTACTGTATCCCTCTCTTTCTCTTTGTTTTATTACTTGTCTCTTTGTCAGTTACTTACAGATCTTTCATACTGACCAAGTCAAAGCAAGATAATTTAAAATACCCCACAAGAAAAAACTAAACAAAAATATCAAATGAGCTATTAAGTGTGAATCCTTTCCACACTGAATTTGTCCTAGATTTATGGAAAATAGAAAACTGGAGCTCAGTGGCAGGGATAGCTCAAGAGTTTCAGTAGAAACTCAAGAGTTTTGGAGAAAGAGAAAGTGTGAAATTATAACCATGCCGATAGCGATGCATTTAACTTTCTAGGCATGCTCAGGTAGGGGACTCTACAGACCTTGAGTGACAGAGGTAACAGAACTAACATAAGAAGTAAGACCCCGGATCTCCCCCTGGATACTCTATGACAGACACCATAATAATTTTGTTTTTGAAATTTTATTTTAGGGAGCATTGTCTGTGATACTATTAATGATAACATTTCATGTATGAAACAGTTAATTACCACATCTTCCCCTAGAGTGTCCACTTTACAGCACCATTATCCCAGTGTCCCCTCTTTCACCCCATTCCCCCCATTCCTGCCTTGTGGTAAATTTGCTACTGATAGGCACCATAATAATTTGTATTTACTATGTATCATTGTCAAAACTATCCTAGGCATTTTTCTTACATGAGACTATTTGATCCTAGAGTAACCCAGCAAGGTAGGTATATTTTCCTAATCATTATTTTTTCTGATTGTAAAAATGATACTAGCTCAAGGTATGTATAATCATCATTGTAACAACCATGAGGGGATAGGAGTTGAAAGAGTTAAGTAACTTAGCTATTCACGGACATATATATGATGTGCTTCTGTAATGAAAGATGCTATGTGGAATTTTCTCAGCATTCCACATTATTTTGGCATTCTTCTGTGCTTTCTCTCATACACACATACTTAACAACGATTCTCACTTACTCTTGTGAGTTCAAACTAATTTACCTCCTTGACTGGCATTTCACACTGGACACTTCCTTAGTGATAATCTGTCATGCCTTCTTGACTTTACATACAACCATGTCTACAGTATCAAAATATTTGGATATGTTCGTACTGATACACACTGACACATACATACACATAGTCTTATTTATATGTATATGTGCTTGTTATATACCCCACTCTCTTTATTTATAGTCTTATTTATATGTATATGTGCTTGTTATATACCCCACTCTCTTATTCGTACCCATGTGCACTTTCACATTCTTTCTTCCATTCTCAGACTATTGCACACAGGCAATAATCTCCACCATGTAGGTCCTGCATAATCATATTTATACTAAACCTAAACACATGCCAACTTTCCTTTTCTTGTTTCTCATAGTCCTATTTCATAAACTCCAACACATTTGCACTGATATCACTATTTTCTCTTCAAAATCATATAGTTACATTACTGATAAGTCATCACAGGAACACATATATGTGTATACATGCACATATGCTTATGTTTACACATGTTCACAACATTAATACAGTCTTACTCATTTCTACTCTGTTTTTTTGAGATCCTCCTCAGTGGTGCTGGGGCTACCAGGGCTATACTGTGTGGTGCTCAGGAGGCTGTGCAGTGCTGGGGATTGAAACCTGGAGCATGTATTCAGAATTGCATACTCTTGAACTTATTAGATTCAACAATCCATGTTGCATTAACATCTAATCACACGCACAAAAGTATTTATTTGATTCACCTTCAAACTCATTCACTTAATTTCTCCATACTGATAATTATACTCCACCTCAGACTAACAGCACAGGTGATCAAATTCAATGTGTGTACACAGATTCCTTTCCATAAGCTCAGCCTTTTCTACAGACACATCACCTTATCCCCACACTAAGATATAATTACACATGCAGATGAGGTCACATTAACAAATATACGTTCACTCATATTCAGAACACACACAAATTCACATTGACACATAGTCATCCTGTATGTGCATGCTTATGTACTCATAATCTCACATTTTGTTTACTCTCACATTTACAGCCACACACACACCACAATCATACACTCAAAGAATTGCATGTATCGTCACAGCTTCATACTCCTGTATTTTCATATGTATGCCATCTCATAGTCAAACTTTCACATCTGTATCACACTGGCATATTCACACTTCTCAAATACTCACGTTCTTACATATTTTAAAGTTATGTCATCCTTTGTGGGATCACAACCCAAAGTTTCAGAAACTGGGGTAACAACCATCACTTTTTTCCATATTTTCCAGTACTGCTTTCTTCATTACTGCTAATAAAACTTTATTCAGCAGCAGTGGCCAACAGAAGAATGTCAGTCTCAGTCAGGTTATCAGTAGGAGTAAATCTTTCCAGGAAAGAAAGGAGTAGAATTTATGTCTAGGATTAAAAAGAAACAGCTCAAATCCACAGATCAAGTTTTATATCCTTGATCCTTAGTTACCTTTTACAGAAACCATCTCTAAAAATCCTTACCAAGTCATATCCAAAAGAAGTTTGGGTTTAGATGGTTTTCTGGAAGTTTATGACAACCGGCCACTTCATTTTTTTTCTCCCAAGGGACAGGAATGGTGAAAAATGTTTTCCTACATACTGTTAATGGTTTCTTATGAAAAATTATGTGTATCTGATTTTATATTTATGGTCTGGAATTGTCTTCTGATAAGGCACATGGAAATGTCATATCGGCTTCCAACAGGCACCTCTAACCTAGCCAGATCTTAATTAATACCCTGTCTACCTGAAATTGGTATTTTAAAATGAGAAAGAAAATGTTAGTGAGCTATTTAAATTATAAAATAAATTTCTATTTTGATTTTGCATGTGCATAGAGTTCCCACTGGAATTTTGACAGCGGTTACTATCAACTTAACAGAAAAATTCTCAGTAGACATGGGTAAAAACAAGCTGAAGAAAGTTTTGTGCACTCCAAACAGAGTGTAGATTTCCCTGTAAGAGGGTGAAAGAAGCATAAAACCCAGGATTGAGCCAGTAGCCTGAGTTAATCAGGAGCCTGGTGCCAGAATTGTGTGACACGTCAGCTCCCAGCAAAACTGTGAAATATGAGAACAGCTTGCAGGAGCCTCCCTAGTCCATGACTTTCCCTGTTGGAATCACTTAATAAAATGAACATTGAACTAAAATGTTTAAACCTCTTTTTGATAGTTCTGGCATAGCACAGGGAATACTAGTTAACTCCTTCCCACCTGCCGTTATATTGAGAACTTTAATAACATCTTATTTTGGATTTGCTTTTTTTTTTAATTTTGGAGGGGGGGACCCAACAGTACTCCGATTTACTCCTATTTTTTCCTCGGGTCACTCTGGGTGATGTTTGGGGAACCATACATGGTACAGGTGATTTACATGGCAGTTGCCTAGACCCCTAAATTATCTCTTCAGCCAAATCCAAAGTACAACTACTTGTGAGACTGAAGTAATAAACGTGAGACTGAAGTAATAAACTGGAATGTGGATTTGGGCAGCAGCTTGCTGTCATGACAAGTCCAGTGCCTCTTTCCCTCAGTCCCAGAAATCCAATGTCTTTATCAGTTCAGATTGTGGGTCTTCTATGGGTTCCATATAGTAATAAGAAGGTACAAATAGAGGAAAAATACATGTAATGTGCACTTGAAGTATTTTTATTTAAGTGGGAATGACAAATTCACCATGTAATACGTAGTATAAATTAATGGTCCAAAAGCTTGGGATTGGAAGAATATCTGTACTGTAATTCAATATCTTAAGTCTTCTGAGGCCTTGAGTTCTCATGAATTGCTGGGAAGAGAAGTCAAATTTTAGAAAAACTGCTTTCCAAAGCAAACCTCTTCCTAGACATACTGTTATTTTTCTAGAAGATTGTAGTAACAGGGCTGTTTATCTGTACCTTGGCACAGGAATAATAGTGAACACAGGAATA